TAGGGCAGCTGTTTGCAGAGTGAGCATCTGCCCGTCGGCTAACTTGCACACAAGCTAGGTTCCCTTCAATCGGCTTATTCACACTTTACCCCTTACTAAAGACTTCAAAGTTGATTTGATTTACGAGTCAACGAGCATCAACTTCTATTCACTACTGTGCCAATACTCAAGCTGTCAGACGTCATGAGATTTGTCTACTGTAAATTGTTTCTATTTCCCAGTTAGTGCAGAATATTCAAGAGAGCAGGCTTCAGTTCAAAATCCAAAGGGACTCCACTTGCCATTTCTCTTTGGGGTTTCTTTACTGTCTATAATTCTAAATCTAGAATATTTTTCCACTGCTACTTTTCAGTTTCACTGTGTGCTTGGTTTCCCATTGTTGACCAAAAGCAGCCTGTTTTCTTTCCACTACCTTCAGTGAAAGTGGGGTAGAGTCCAGTTACCTCTATGATAACCAGGGAAGACCTTTTATAAATATCTGAACAAGCACTTTAGCATTAAGAAGGAACATGTAGGAGTTCATGTGCTACATTCAGTAGTGACTGAAAAGTGGATCAAATAGTTTCTGTCTGTATTTTCACAGGGTTCAGTTCTATAGCAATTTAAACTGCTCAGTCTGCTGTGCTCCTGCTCACTCAGCTCCCAGCTATGTGAGTTCCCTCTTCTTCTGTTGCTCTGGTACCAGCACTTTTCTGACCTGAATAGTTGCATGGACTGGCTTAAACTGGCTGAAAAACAATCCTGGGGGATTTTTTTAGGCCACTCAGCTGAGACTGGTTGAAGGTGCCATGGAACTACATCTTTAGATAATCGTACATCAGTTCCTCTAAGCTTTCCAGTTACATAAGAGGCTGCTGGCTGCTGCTGTTTCCAGGACAGTTTAGTGGCCTCTGTTTCATAGCTGACTTACAAATTGCAATTCTCCATGCGACCAGGGCCTTCCATAAAGATGAAGCAATATATATATATTTTTAAAACCACTGAAAATAGTGTCTAGGTTAATTGCTTTATAGGCTGTTTAACATCATGAAGAGTTTGATTTCAGTAGAGTAGTGTAAGTCTACAGACTTACATTATTAGACATTTGGCTCTATAAGATTGGACCTACTTTGTCTCTAACAATCACTGACAGTTTGAAGGCATTTGCCTTTCAGAAGTCTCTGGCAAGAACAGACTTCCCTTTGCTGTAGTCTGTTTCTTCTCCCTCGCAGCAGAGAGCACTTGATCACCTTGATTCCCTACATAAGGGATCCTCACTCTGTGTTGACATACAAAACTTTGAAGCAGCATACACATCTAGGATGGGACCTTCTTCTCATCTTTAGTCTTCGTGGTAAGAGTCAGTGGTCCAACTTGATGTCAACTATGGAAAACCACCTGGAACCTTTGTTGTTGATGTCAGTAGAGAAGTCCCAGAGTGAATAGTTGGAGCCCAGACCTCATTCCTGTCCTTAGGCTTCCTCTGCCTGATTGAGTGACTACGAACTGGTAGACAGTAGGGAAACTTGTGCTGCTGTTCATCCATCACATGGATGTTACAGAGCTCCTGACCCCAACATTCTTAGGACTTTTTATTTCTTAGCAACAATAATTTGCAGGCAGAACAGAACGAAAAACTTTGATCAGGCAATCCTGGTTTGTTTTTGCTGTGTTTTCTCTATCAAGTAATCCCTGGCAAAAGAGGATAATAAGAAGTTAACGGTTGGCTGTGTTTGTAGGCACACGAGCACACACAGCTACACCAGAAAGCAATACCAGAAAGCATTTTACAACCAAGGCATTGCAGAGACATGAAAGCCCAGGTAGTGACCTCCAAAGGAAGTCCATATGTTAAGACCAGTGCAGATATAGGCATGGAATTGCCCCTGTTATCCAGGAAGCAGGAAGCATCTGGGTATATCAATGTGTCCTAAGTGGTCTGTTAAGGAGTTTAGGGTTATTTTCAATGTGTTTGGTTACGACTGATGGGTTGGAGGGGGCACCTTCAGGTCCCGGGTGTTAGGCCATTCTCTGAAGGTGAATGCTCTCCCACCCTGCCCCCCTAGCACGTGGCCCTGTGAACCCGTAAGAAGCTCACACAGACCACGCAGAGGGACGGACGAAAGAGGAGTTTATTGTGAGGATGGGGGCTTATAAGGCTTTTAGGGGGATTAAAAAAGAACCAATTACGCTCAGGGTCTTACAGAAAAACCAATCAGGTGAAGAGTTAATAGCCAGTAGGAAGGGGTTAACAAAGGCCAATGAGAAGACCTCAGTATATCTTCCCAGGACATTCCTGCATGGGAGTTAGGAGTTCTTTGCAGGGGGTGTCGGGAAGGAGAACCACTGACCTTGCAGAAATACAGAAAAGCCATTTTAAGATATGTTTAAACAACATTAAAAACTTCTGTTTCTATAACATTTGAGCTGTTTTCTTCTTTTTCTTCATCAGTCCGTCTTTGACAGGACTTCTTCCATCCTACATATGGTAAATCCATTGCCACATTTGGTCATTTGGACATTTGGAATTGCTGTCACCTTATCATTGATGGGCATACAGAGATAGTCACACAATGATTGTTGCAGTTGTCTTACATCTTCCATTATAAAATACTGTTTTCATCTAATTATAGTTTACCATAACATTTGAGCCAAAAATGCTTATATAAGGGACTTGTTTCTGGATGTTTTTGATGGAAAGTTTCTTCTAAAAGTTTGTATTGAGTTAGGAAAAAAGTAGTTGTCTTCCAAGTGTTGAAAGCAATTCTTCTCTTCTAAGAAGCTCTGCGGCCTCCATTTTTGAGTACAGATTGCACATTATTTATGGATAAATGGGGTGTTAGGAGGAAAAAAGGAAAGTTTTATTTTCACATGAAAATTTTCACAGGTAGTCATATTCTAAGCATGTTCTAGCACAAGCTTGAGTTCATTTTCTAACTTTTTCTAACCTTTTTCTAACCTTTAAGAACTATTGGGTCACTGGAAGGTAGTATTAGGACATGGGAAGTTAAGCTGTATCTCCTGTTTCACAATACCCCTCTGGGCATCTTGAAGAAACTGGAATGGAAAGCAGCGAGCAGCAAAACCAGGATGGTGATGAACTAGCAGATTATTGATGCAGAAGACTGTGGAAGTGACAGCCACAATGAGGTTTAAAATTGGTGTGGCATAAGAGGAAATCTGTGAAGGAATGGACTCATTTCCAGATCTTAAATATATGCTGAGATTTTTGAATCTCGCTATTTCACTGTTGCATAGCAATTGGTTGACAAGGTATTTGCTTCATTTCCCTCTTATCTTTAGAAAGAACCGTGTGCTTCCTATTTGTGCAAGAAATTAAAAGTATTTACCTTAGATCTAAAGCTATCCAAATCCTAAAAATACCAGCATTTTTCTTTGATGGAATGCAATTTGACAAATTAAATTAATAGGTGTTTGACAATGCTAATCCAAAACCTGGTATTCTGGTTCTAGGATTTGATCTCTAATACAACTGAATCTCAGTAAATTTTGGGGGGAAAATGCCATGTATGGCAACAAGTCCAAACCCTAATGTCTATTCTGTGAAAACGTTAAAGGCACTCATTTGTGAATTGTCTGAAGAAAGCAGTTCAGTAGTTCTGTCTAGAGCAAGGGGACTTTGGGTGAACTACACAGCAAGAATTCTATGTAAATACCAATTTAAATTTTAAAGAACTCTTTGGTAAAATTATATCTATTTCTTCAGTACAAATGAGTTCATGGTAAGGTCATCTTTTTACTTTGGTAATAACTACATTTGTTTCTTTCCCTCAATTTCTTTAAACTTTGGAGTGCTTGTGAGTGTAATTTGAGTTTGATGTATTTCTAGCAAACACAGAACTTGCTTCAATCTCTGGCTATTCTGAAATGCTCTGTTTTGATATTGGCAGCATTTAAACCCTTCTCATTTTCCCCCTAAAACTGGAAACTATCTGTTGGTTTGTGAGGGGTAAAGAGTAGCCTGAAATGATAAAATTGTCTTAGGAGACTATAAAATTTATCATGAAATGATGTTCTATTAGCATTTAAAATTGTCTTTGGCTTGATTGCAGCTCACAGTTTACCAGACATACACAAATAGTTTCTGGTTCTAAGAAGTGCACAGACCTCAGTTTTGCATATGGCCATCTCTCCAAACCACAAGTCACTAAAGAATGTTGGTGTGATGTTTGGCCAGTTAAAGAAGGGCAGCGCTCCTAAAGCAGACTTGTGGTTTTATGCCTGCAGTAAGAAGACTCAAACGTTAGAGAGATTGTTTTCTTTCACATGCATTATAATTTATTTTTTTCCACAGTCTGAAGCAGCAGCACCTGTGTAACCTTATTTAACTGCCTTCACACATTTTTCTTTCCCTCAGCTAATGTTCTGCCAAAGTGACAAACTTTCCTCACTTTGAACTGCAGAACACCATGAAAGCTGGCATTTCTCAGCCATGTCCAATACTGTAACTCTTCTATGCGCTGTTCATTGGGAGCTGTCATTTTATTAATACTGTAAGAACATGACTGCTGTAAGACAAGAATAAATCTTAGAGAAAGCTGTTGCAACTTGCTAGAATTTTAAAAAAAAGAAAAAAAAAGGTTGATACATATAACAATCTATTGTTTGCTTAGCCCTGAGTCTTTCCCAAGAATGGATCATTACAGATAAGTTGCTGGTGTTCTTTGATTAAGAATTCTTTCTTAATCTACAGTAGAGGCTATAAGGAACATATATCCATAAACTTGAATTCAGCATTAACAAGAGGAGCTTGCAATTATGTTTCCTTACCTTTAAGTTGACAAAAATTTTAAAAAAATAAAAAACTACTGTATTTTACAACCGTTAAGTCCTCTCTCATCATCTGGGAATCTGAGGGATGTTCATTCAGTTTTTGGCTTCTCAGCGCATTTTGCTAATGAAAATGCCACTTAGGCTGGGGTATTTGAAACCTGCATATAAGTTCACCAAGGACAACAGAGGCCTGACACTTGTCACATATTTAATTTCTATTCTCTCAGACACTACAGAAAAATTATAATAATCACTGTTTCATCTGAACCGAGGAATCTTGTCTCCATTCCAGTTCATTTTCCACTCACAACAATCAATCTTCTTCTATCTCTACAGTGATGGCAGTTCATAGCAAATTATCTGCCATGTGGGTAAGTGGCATTCAGTTCCTCACTTGCTGCTCTCTGCCATCTGGTGAAATTGCTTTGCTATCTGGTACTTTTTATCCAGCCTAACAGAGCTGACTGCCCCTGAAATGGCCTAGAATTGATTTCAAAGAAATTCAGATCTATGAAAAGATAGGTGCAAATTCCTAGCAAGAGAAAGCAATTAGTAGCCAAATTCAGTCTTCTTTTGAGTCCAAAATACCTGCCTTCCAGTGATCAAAAGTCTTATTTTTAGGGTGACCAGCTGTTTTATTACAGTTCTTACTAACACAGAGAAGGGAATTTGTTAAAATACTGATTTTATTTCCACAGTATCACTTTAAACACGAGCCAGCTCTATGTTTTCCTGAGAACCAATGAGGCTTGAGATTTTTTTTAATTAAAAACCAGCTAAGGTGGAGTTTTTATTTCGTTTCCCGTCGAATGCATTTAAAGCACCTCTGTCTCCAGCTGGCTATGGGAGCAGAGCCAAACCATAATGGTTTCAAGCCCAATGTGTGCATAGGGAAAAGGGTTTTCACCTGATTGATGACTGTGAAAGCGTTTGCAGCAGAGTGCTGAAGCTGGTAGGACTGGAGTTGTTTAGAAGATAAGAGACAGTAGGTGCATGTGTTTTTCAAAACCTGGTAATTCTTCCCTGTCAAGTGCAGTAAATGGCACATGAAGGGTCTCATTTCATCGGCTTGCAGGCACTCTCCTCCATGAAACCTTCTGAAGTGGTTGCAAGAGGTTGAAGCTGAGGTTGGTTGAATTTCCTCATTGTCCTTTACTGTGGCCTTACAGCCATTCTTTCAGCTATGCTGTCATAAGTTATGTTACTGGGTCTACCTATCCTTTAGGACTTAGGAGTGGGCCTGAAAATTAATTGTTCACTTTTGTTTTGCTTAAGAATGCAAAGCAGTGTGACACGGAAACACCTTCCACAAACTTAGCGTCCTTTTCAACTTTACATAACATTTACTGCTTCTCAGGCCTCATATTGCTCCAGTTTTAGCCTGGATTTCTTAGGAAATTCTTAGTATCTCTGCCTGATCAATTACACAATGGCTGCATTGTCATTTCCTTAGGTATGATAAGATTATTGACCAGAGGGAATTAATCTTTGCTTTGGGGCCTTGTGATCCTGCAGTCATCTTTATAGCACCTCACTAGTGGGAATGCTTCCAGCATTATGCAGTAGAGGAGAAAAGGAAACATCTTTGTGAAGGAGTCTGCTCTCAATCATCACATGTGGGTAGGAGTGAGGTGTATTATGTTCAAAGTTCACAGGTTCAAGGAACAGAAAAGAGGATAGGTTGTTAAGCAGAATGTGGAATGACCCCAGGGTTGCACTTTGGAGAAGTTGACTTCTTTTTGAGTGGGAAGGACAAGACACCCTTAGGAGTACTTAAAAGTATTAAAAAGGTAAAAAAAATATGGAGACTAGAAAGGGGAGAGGAAACTGAGGAAAGGACAAAGGGCAGGGTAGCACAAAACTTGTTGATTGGCATGTGTGCCTGTAGAAATGTGGCTGGATATTTGAAAATGTGCTTTTCTCTAGGTTTTCATTTTCCTGCTTCTCACCAGCTTAGAAGCTGCATGCATGGCCTGTTTCGTGATAGATTAGTGCTTCCGTGTGGAACCATAAAGCGCAGACATGCTTGGAGATGGCCAGGTGGCAAGAAAAAATATCTGAGCTTTATCAAAAGCCAAAAATTCAGGGAGACAAACGTTTGGTTTCAGTTCTGGGCAGATGCTCAGGTCAAGTCTTATTTTGTCCAAACCACTTCCCCTGCCCTTAGGCATGGTATTTTCAGAGTGAAAGGACAGGCAAAGCCCAAGGAGATTCCAGAACATGGCTTGTTTGCAGCTGGCTAGACACGGAATTCATCAGCAACGAAGCAAGGCTCGCTCTTCTCCTGCGGATATAGCGAGAACTTGGACTTGTGCACGCACACAGAAGCATGCACAAGCATGTATGTGCACACACCAGAACAAACCAGTTCTCTGTCTGCTGGGGAGGCTTCAGTTACAGTATCTGAAGCCAGAGATTTCATTTAAGCCATTTGGACTCTGAGTGCTGTAGCCTTGCCTGCCTCCTTCCTTTCTCAGCTCCCAGCCAGAAAAATCCTCCCCCTTGCTGCCCTCCCTTTCCAGCACACACAACACAGAAAGCAGAAACCAACCCAAGGTTGCCTTTGCAGCTGGGACTTATCTGCCAGAACACACACATGTAGGTCATCCATGGGAACTCGGCAAAGTGTTGGATCAACAAGAGCACTGGGGGGGTGCAGGGTAGGGGGAGGAGGAGGGATGGAATCTTTTTTTATCATCATTATTATTATTGTCTGCTTTTTTAGAAAGGAAAAGGAAGAAAGATTACAGCAGCTTTTCTATCAAATGAAAAGATTAGCATGCCGTGGATGCTTTGCAGGGGCGTGATGAGATTTGCAGCAGATGAGTTGGTTGCTAGGCAATGCTAATCAAAAGCAGGCTTTCAAAACTTCTGTGCTGTGTGGGCCCAAAAGTTATCTAGCCTCCCGCCTGCATCCCCCCCATCCCTCCCACCCCCCCTTCAACCCCATGCAACCTCCAAAATATTTATAAAATCCTCACCAGGAACAAGAAAGACAGATGCTGGGCTGGGCTTTTGACAACTCGCTCTTCCTAAGCTGCCCAGGAGACACATATGCACACACACACACAACTTTACTGATTTTCTTTTCCTTCTTAGAAAGGTAATTGAGAACAAAACAAAAAAAGCACAAAAAAAAAAAAAAAAAAAAAAAAAAAAAAAAAGGGGGGGGGGGGAGGGAGAGAAAAAAAGTTAGCAGTGGCTCCCAAAGCAGCTTGGTCTCCGATTTCAGAGTTCAGTCAGAGTTTAAGGCTTGCCTCTGTGTCTGTGTGTGCGTGTTGGGGGGTACGTACATCTTTGTTTTCAATTTCTCTCCATGCGTTTTCAAGCTGGGCTCTAGCTCTTCCCCTCCTCCCATCCTGCTTCAAGCCTCCTTTCCCTTTCAAGGCCTTCTGACACAATGAGTTTATTTTCCCATGCTCCCTCTGAAAGCCAGGGTATGTGCATGAAAGCTACAGCCTCAGAGGACTCTTTTAAATACAGAAATTGAACATTGCTGAAGTTACAGACAGGGTTTCTGCCATTTTTACAAATGACCCATGTCTCATTCCCCTTCTCAGAAGTATCAGCGTTCTTAGCTATCTTACCATCTGTCTCTCTCAATTGTTTTTTTAAGTGAATTTAGTGTTGGTATGACAGTATTGAAGACTAATGTTTACTGTTTGCTCCACACTCTCCTTATTGCTGTGGCTAGTGGGCCTCAATCCTAAAGCAAAGTCCTTTTCATGTGAGCAAAAAAGGATATTTCCATGGTCAGTTGTATACTAAAAGTGCCAAAGAGGCAGCATTTAGCAAGGTCTAATTCTAAATAATCCAATGGAGTAACATAGCCCTGTCATGAAAAAGCCACGCTTCAAAGTTACTGAGCTACCTCGGGCCTCTAGACTGGGCAGTGGAACCTGCAGAAGCAGTGCCTCATGGCACTGCCCCCTTTGAGATTTCACCCATCCCCTGACATATTATATCACATTGAACGTGAAGGGCTATAGTCTCAGTTTAATGCCAGTGTTTCATGAACGCTTCTGGGGAGGTAAGAGGTTCATGTGAATTGAAAACAGAATTTAAAATTACTGTGAAGAATGAATATGAGTCTTGTATGGTGGTCCCATAAAGGTAGTCCAAGTTCAACCATTAATGATCTTGGTTGAGGTCTGCAGACTTCAGTGGCACTTGGCTTAATGAAAACAAGAGCCTGTGGGAGTTTTGTGGGATTTTTTTGTTTTGTTTTGTTTTAAAACATGCTGGAGCAGCTTTGTTTTTCCTGGACTGTTTCTCTCTGATGCCAGTAGGAATTGTTAATCAGTAAGAAATTCCTTGGGCAGCTGGTTTTTGTGGGGCTGCTGCAGTGACCTCTTTAGACCATATTTCAGATGGCAGAGGCTAGTATGTTCTTTTTATTTCCTTCTTTTTTCTACCATCAGCACTGTTTTAGTCAGTACCACATGGATAGAGAAGATATTAAACCATGGTCCTGATCATATATGATCTCAAGGCATTCCTTCCAGAAGTTAATCTCTCAGTTATCAGGGGAATTTAGTTTTGCTTCCATAAATTCTCCTGCTGTTTCAATTAAATAGGGATGTCAGATTTCTAAATGCTTGAGAATACAGCCAGCTGCTGTGTGCAGACTGAGGGATGACTATTCAGGTAATGCTCCATTATTTGAAGTAAGAATTTTGTTCATGCAGGACTCATTACAGGACACGTTAGGGAGTGTGTTAAGGGCAAGGCAACCACATGCCCTCCTTCCTCTCCTTTGTCAGGCCAAGCAAAATGCCTGGATGGTTCCACATTTTTGAAACTTGGGTCTAGGCATTCCAAGTCTGCATGGACATGCCTGCAAGGTATTGTTGATCATTAGAAAAAGAAAATTGGTTTTCATGTTTTTCCTAAGCTCTTGTGGAGTGCTGTCTGGCCTGGCTAACTACTGCCCCCAGCTCCATTTCAATGGTGGGCATAGGCATTCCTTTGTGTAGCTTGGTCTTCTTCACAGAATATGCCAACTTGGAGGGGACCCACAAGAATCATCAAGTCCAACTCCTGACTCGGCACAGGAGCATACCCAAGAGTCACACAATGTGCTTGAGAGCATTGTCCAAACGCCTCTTGAACTCTGTCAGGCTTGGTGCTGTGACCACTTCCCTGGGGAGCCTGTTCCAGTGCCCAGCCACCCTCTGGGTGAAGAACCGCTTTCTAATATCCAACCTAACCCTCCCCTGACTCAACTTCAGGCCATTGTCTCGGGTTCTGTCACTGTCACCACAGAGAAGAGATCACTGCCTGCCCCTCCTCTTCCCGTCACAAGGAAGTTGTAGACTGCAGTGAGGTCTCTTTTCAGTCTCCTCCAGGCTGAACAAACCAAGTGACCTCA